TTTCGGCAAAAAATTTTATTTTTCCAAGCTTTGCTGTTTCTATGCTATTTCTATTTGTATTTTGTTCTCTTAGCTAGATGTAAATTTTGTTGCTCTTTCTTTTCTACTAAGGGTTCTAGTATTGCTTCTTAGTGTGTTTTGCGATATTTTTCTCATTTTGCTTCTCAATAATTTTGGTCGAGGGATCTGCAGGAAAGAGTTCTATGTATTAATGACAATAATGAAGAAATCATTATTGGCAAAATTCGCAAATATTTTCTAAACACAAATCAGTTCTCTATCTTATACTGGAATGCTACTATCAATTTAGAACATAATCATTACTATCCTCTTCCAGACCTGAACTGCACATCATGTACTAAGTGCTATCTCAACTCAAATAGAATTAATTAGATATACACAATTAACATATTAGCAACTATTTGTATCAGCTTTTTGGAAAGAAAAACCTTTAAACTCAAGCTTAATGCTAACTACTTGAACCTTATTTACTTAACAGCAATTAAACATCCTTTATGAATTTTATATAACTATCTTACTATTAACATATCAAATTTAACTATTGTTGAAATTTTTAAATCTAATAAATGTTTAAACAAACTTGAAGAAATCTTTCAAAACAATCTGTCATATAAGGAATTTATTTTTTATACAGATGAATCAGTGATTGATATTGGAACTGAACAAAGCTTAATAAGCATTAGATGAGTTCAAATTAACAGTAACAACTAAATTCTTTACAAATTCTTAGCTAAAATTTACTTTTGGCCATCTGCTTATATAACAGAGCTTTTCTCTATTTTATCAGCAATTTCAACTATACTCTGTAATTCAACACTTTAAATTTATACTGACTCACAATCTGTTATTTCTAAATTTTACAAACTTTCTATTCAACTTAATAATTCTAACAAACTCTTTAAATTCAATGCATGGCCTTTATAGTACATATTTCTAAACATTATCAAATTCTTTAATCTAAATATTACTTTCACAAAGTTCAAGCTTATACAGATAATACCTTTAATAATATGACTGATTCTTTAGCAAAATAATATATTTTTTTCTTATCTTTAAACTTCTAATATACAAACATTTATAATCTTTTTTTTATTTTACAATGAGAACAAAATCTTGTTAAACTTTTTACCAGACATTTTGTTAAAAATATCTGTAAAGGGCACATACTAGCAATATGGTTTTTACAAAAAAAAGAAACAATAAATGGGCTTATATTAACTAGTATATAAACTAGAAATCTATATGACTATATCTTAATCATAATCAAAAACCTACATCTAATTTTATTAGCTTTAAACTCAATTAATCTAAAATCTTCAAAATTAAAATCCTTCTAAATCAACTACCAATATACCTTTTTTATCACAATACCTATTCAATGATTTTTTCAAATATCAATTGCTTTCGATACAATCTTTTTAACTTATACTTATATTGGTTAACTTGTTCTAATTCATCTTTTATTATAAACATTATTAACTTATTAATTCAATATATTTTATCTAAACTAGATCTCAACTTATCTACTAGCCAACTATATAAACTTATTTGCAAAATTCAAACCATTCTTCATTTGACCAAATACTATTTCAAGCAAACTCTTTTTACCTTAACCTTATTCTTAAAGACCTTATAGCTAAAACTCTAATTGAAACAATTCATAACTACAACATACCTATTAAAATAGTCTTACAAACTATTATTCAAATACTTTTTAACATTAATAACTAAATCTATAATCAAATATGGAAACCTTACTGCATTAAATTTTCTAACTGAAAAAAAATAATATTATTACATCTCTTCTAAGCTCTAATAATAATCATATCTTTCAACAAATATAGCAAACTAGATATCACAAGAGATCACATATAAACTATACACACTTATGTCTATGTAAAATAGCAGATTAATTACATTTATGTTCTAATATCTGTTTACCAATTGGACAAACTATTAGAAAAATCAATATATGATCAATACTCTGGATTAATCATATATTTTAATATTACAAATCTATATGAGCCTTGATCATCATAGTTAGTTTAGATTACAGATAAAACTGTCTGAGCTTTAATTCTTACATGTAATTTTTATTTTTAGTTTACAATCTTAGTATATCTTAGTATATAGTATATTAATATATACAACTAAAATTATTAATAAAGATATGAGCAAGGCCTCATCTTAATACCAAAAAAAAAAGTTTTATGTTATATTAAAACTTCTATGTTTTTATAAAATAATTTTTTACCCTTAAAATATAATAACAGTTAAGTTTTTTTAAAAAAATTTTTGAAATTTTATATTTAATTTTAATTAAATTTACAAATTTTATCTGTTTTATATATAAAATTTTAAATTGTAAATTTCATAATTTAAAAAAAATAAATCTCAATTTTTTCATCTTGATGAAACTCACATATTATAAAATATAAATATTGAATTTACTACTTATAATAAAAAATATTTTTTTTAAATAAAAAGAATATTGTCTTTTACATTTATATAAATTTCAATTTTTTATATGTTTTACTATAAAATTGATCATCGGGCGTTACTAGGGTACAATCACTATTTCATAGTAATTTTATCAACGATCATTACTAAATAAGGTGCGATCATCGATAACTAAATTTGGTATATTCCTCGACTGAAGTACCAACTCGAAACCGAAATACTTCCACTATTTCCATCACAAAAAGTATCTTCGAAAATAATGTATAACATTGCGTGAGTTTTTATGAAATTATTCAAGAAATAAGTTTATAAAAGACGGTATTAAATATTTCTCTTATAAAAGGATGGTATCGGACTTTTTCTATCCAAACATGGGTGGAGTAGAAAGTCACTTATACCAATTATCACTTAAGTTAACCCAACGTGGACACAAGGTACGATACTAATAATAAATCACATTTTCTACTCAAATTCAATTAAAAATTATCCTCTTAGGTTATAATAATCACTCATTCTTACGGAAACCGCACTGGCGTTCGTTATCTAACCAATGGCTTAAAGGTATATTATGTACCGCACATGGTTATCTATTCAGAAGCAACATTACCAACGATATATGGATTCTTTCCAATCTTTCGAAATATTGTTCTTCGTGAAAGAATTGATATTGTCCACGGCCATCAAGCATTTTCATCCTTATGTCACGAAGCAATTTTACATGCTCGTACGATGGGAATGAGAGCTTGTTTTACTGATCATAGTTTATTTGGATTTGCGGACGCAAGTAGTATTCTGATGAATAAAGTATTAAAATTTACACTTAGTGATATCGATCATGTTATATGTGTTAGTCATACGAGGTTAATGGATAAGATTTTTTTAAAGACACAGCTGTTTTTAACTTAAATTGTTACTTGCCATTAATTTGAATTGCATTTTTACAACAGTAAGGAAAATACGGTTTTAAGGGCAGCTTTGACTCCTCAAATGGTATCAGTCATCCCAAATGCTGTGGTTACATCGCAGTTTAAGCCGAATACCAATGCACAAGATAAGAATTTTAGTTCGGTATTTTCTTTTTTAATTAGAGAACTGTTTCTAGTAGCCCATTTTTGAAATTACATTACTTATATAATCGCTTTTTTTTAAATGCAAATAATTATCTAAGTCACTATCGTTGTAGCAAGTCGACTAGTATATAGAAAGGGCATGGATTTACTTGTCGCTGTTATACCTAGAATATGTAAAGCAGATCCTAAAGTACGATTTATAATTGGTAAAGCCAGAATCCTTTTACTACTACGATATTTTTCGGAAATTTTTACTGAAAAAGTCTTATAAAAGGTGGTGATGGACCAAAAAGAATCGATTTAGAACAAATGAGAGAGAAAAATTCGCTTCATGATCGTGTTGAATTTATTGGTCCAGTTATGCATCACGAAGTGCATAGTGTAAGAAAAAAAAAATTATATTTGGTTTTGGTCAAGTATTGCATCAAATAGTTTACGATGATACATTACTTTATTTCAGGTTTTGACAAAAGGTCACATTTTTTTGAACACCAGTTTAACTGAAGCATTCTGTATTGGTATGGTTGAAGCAGCTTGTTGTGGGTATGTAATAAAATATAATTCATTTATACAAATTCAAAATAAAAATATTTAAAGAATAATTTATAAAAAAAAACTTTTGCTATGCCAAAGGTTACTCGTTGTAAGCACCAAAGTTGGGGGTGTGCCAGAAGTTCTTCCTAGACACATGATTATTTTTTCTAAGCCTGAGGAAGAAGGTGCTTTTTCATCATAATAACATTACAGTCAACCCTCCATAAATGCACCCCCCTTGGGACTATAAGCAAAAATTTTAGACATGTGCATTTATGGAGGGCATTTTATTAAGTGCTCTATATGCTTGGGACTGAAGATTAGTGTGCATTTAGAGAGGGCATACATAGTGTGTGCATTTATAGAGGGTGCATTTATGGAGGGTTAACTGTATTTGGAAATTTTGTACAAAACATTTGGTAAATATAAAACAATCGGAGTTTTATAACTGTTTCTTCTTGTTTGCGACAGATCTTGTTGATGCAGTGTCAAAAGCTATCAAAATGATAAGACATAAAGAGGCCGTACCAACAAAATTTCATGATGAGATTAAAGAAATGTATAGCTGGAGTAATGTTGCTGAACGAACCGAAAAGGTAAATTTTTATCGAAATAAGCGCTGTATCACCATATAAATAAAGACATTAGTTCTTAGCTTTCTTTAACTGAATAAGGTTTATGACAAAATATGGGAATTGAAAATACCACCTCTGATGGAAAGGCTGCGAAGGTATTTAGTGCACATTATTCATTTATTTTTTGTTACATAAAGTTTTAGTTATTTATATTTATTTGCAATTAATCAAACCTATATTCTGAATTCTAATTCCTAAAGATATTATGGATGTGGTATATGGGCTGGAAAAATATTTTGTATAGTAATGGCTGTTGATTATTTGTTTTGGAGATTTTTAGAATGGTTGTTTCCTGCAGATGATATTGATATTGCGCCAACATTTCCGTATCAAAAATATAGAAAGGTGATAATATAGTGATTGAGATTTTTTTAATCCGTAAATTGGTAATTAACTTTGCTCTATATTGTTAAAAGATGTGCCAGGTTGCAGATAAAGATAAAGAAAATTCATGAATTGAAAAATTATACTTTATTTATACGGGATTTGTTACAATAGCAATAATACAAGTCATTGAATTTTTTTAGATAAACCATTTTATTTTCATGTAATGAGATGAATTGCTTGTGGCAACTGAAGCTGAAATTAGTTGATTCCTAAATTTTACCTGTTATGAACAGTATTGACAAACTACTATGTCCAATTGTTTCAAAGTCAATTGGACATATGTCCAAAACCAATTGGACGTCAAATTTGTCAACTTAGATTATGAAATTTTAAACTTTTAGAAGTCTTTTTTGTAGTCCTTTTTTCTAGAAAAAGGCTAGGATTAGAGTTAATAAAAGAGTATATAGAGATGTTAGTGGGCATTATAGATGCAAATAGGGCTCTAAATGTCAATTTCAGCTACATATTCCAAAGGAATTAGTATTACAAATTAATGGTAAAAAAAATGAATTTCCTTAGTAAATTATTCTCTTTAAAAAATTCTACCCGTTAAAAAAACTTGTGTAAAATGGGTAAAATACTATCAAATAACTCAGAGAGTCGGGTTAATACTTTGACATTATGCGCGTGTCGAAATTATTTCGGCGTGTGTCGAAACTATCATAGCTTATGTCGTAACTAATTTCGAATAAGCCGAAATGATTTCGGCCACACGTTATATTTTGTACGATACTAAATATGTATTATAACTTATATTTTCGCTATTCATGAATTAAATTATTAGACATAACCTGCAAATCTTCATTGTACAACAAAAAGATTTTTGCTTCAGACAAAATATTCCTTAAAATTAATCTCTACCTCTCTATTATGTAAAAGTTTATTTAAAAAGTTGTAACGACAAATAAATGTTTATCGACATTGTTTATCGGACTATTATTTTTTTGAGGTGTCGAATGACGTGTAGTAATGTTTTTCAGATATTCCAAATCTAGAAATATGTACAACAATAACCAAGCACGTGATAACGCAAGTATATAATGATATGCCCAATTTCAATTCTTTACTTGACGAAAATGTCATCTACAGCTACGTTGAGTAGTTCCTCGTCGGTCGCGAATGATAGTAATGCTGGCGATTTCGAAGTGGAAGAAGAAGTTGAAGAAGTCGAAAGACAAGTAATTTTTCGACCACGCCTTCGTGTCTTTTGCTATTTTTGTTATTCTGTTCAATTGTTTATTGTATTGATTCAAATTACGCGTCAGCTTGCAAACATTAACAGAGATGCTGTTCTTTTTGTTATCGATTGCTCACTGTCGATGATGAGCGGTGAAGATTCACCATTTAAATCCGCTATTCGGTGTGCTTCTTCGGTGATGATGAACAAAATAATTACCAGCAATGACTATGACTTTATGGGTGTAGTGCTATTTGGAACGGTAATCAAATATTACTTTCTAAATAAAGCATTTTTGATATCCGAGGTTTTTATTATGCATCGCTACTTAATAGGAAAAATTACAAAATACACTTGAAAAAAGGCACATTTATGTGCTTCAACCCATTGATTTACCAGATATCCACAGAATAATAGAATTAAATGACATAGCATCAGGTAAGATCTATAATTTATTATATTTTATTACTATATATCTATTAATTAACATTATAAAACCAGGGCAAATTGATTTTAGTCAGGAATACGGAAATACAAATGAAGAAGTTCCATTAGGAGATGTCTTTTGGACTTGCAATGATTTATTTAATTCACTGTTCGTCTGTTAATTATTGTAAATATTATTCTTTCAACATTCTTTCTGCATGTAGTTAGATTTTTTTTTTTAATTTCATTAGATCTACATCAACGGTTAAGATTAAAAGAATATTTCTCATCACTGATCAAGATAACCCTCATGCTACAAATCAAGTTCTTCGTAGTACAGCAATTACTCGTGCTAAGGTTTATTTGATTATATTTTGGAATAAAATCACAATCTTTGTTCTAACATGTATCAACTCACTACATTATTTAAAAGGATCTTATTGAATCAAAGATAGAGATAAACCTTTTTAGTGTCAATCAATCAGACGAACAATTCGACCTCGATGCCTTTTATTCGGTTTGTTTACGAACAAATCTTCCGATTTTATTTATTTGATTTATTTATTTACTTAATATTCATAATATTCAAATTCCTTTGCTTATACAGAAAATTGTTTCTAAAGACGACTTTGGAGAAAATCTTCACTTTAATGCAACGAAAGACTTTAAGGTCCTTTTGACTCAAATTATGAATAAAGAAGCTCCAAGAAGATCTTTATTTTCTCTACCATTCCGCTTATTTGAAGGTGAAGGAATGACAATTGGGATCAGAGGGTAAATTATAAATAACTTAATTAAATGTCTGGACTAATGCTGGTGAATTAAACCGGAATGCTTAAACAATTTGGGAAGTTAGTGTTGAATTGATGAAATTAACTTCACCAATATCTCTAGTCTAAACCTTACAATATTTATTCTATATCATACACTTTGTAAACTCTTTATTTGTAATATATATATAGCTTTTCGACGATAGTTGAAAGAGCGAAGCCTGCACATAAATTAGTTCATATGAGAGCTGAGACAACACGCGTTGTTGAAACGAAGACAAAATGGATTTGTGCGGTAATAAAATTTGAAAGCGTTAAATAGTTATAAATATTTTTAATTAATTTTGCTTCCGTTGTCATAGGACACTGTTCAAGAATTAATGCCTGAAGATATGAAGTACTATTTTTCATATGGTGGCGAAAAGGTTTGTACATATAAAAATATGAATTTATGTAAAATATAACTGCGAAATTCAAAATTATTTCAACACTTCCGATGAAGATTGTTTTTACGAAAGAGGAATTATCAAAAATCAGAGACTTTGGTGAAAAAGGTAATTATGCAAAAGAAGACATTAAATATATATTTTTAATGACTGTCATTATTCTCTATCATTGTAGGTTTAACACTTATTGGATTTAAACCTACAAGTGCACTTAAATATCACTATAATATTGCGCACCCGTATTTTATATATCCTGATGAAGAAGTGAGCATTGGATCCTATAATATAATAATTAAAATATCACTATTTCTAATTACCTCTTGAATGACATCAGCAATATGAAGGTAGTAGAAGAACTTTTGCAGCTTTACATAGGAAGATGATCGAAAAAGATAAAATTGCCATATGCGCCGCAAAAATTCGCAATGGAACACCTTTTACATTTGTTGCTCTAAAAGCTCAAGTATGAGTGTAAAAATTTTAAAATATTGCTTTTATTATTCAAAACCCTTCTACTAAATAATTGCAATCTCAGCCTGAAATTCTCGATGAAAATGGTCTGCAAATTCAACCTCCAGGTATGAATATGATTAATCTTCCGTTTGCAGACGACATGCGACCCCTTCCACCTCAAGCCGAAATATCTCCTGGTAATTATTTTATAGATTATACTACCATTTATATTTATAAACATAAAACTATCTTATTCATAATATTATTTTTGCACCTTTATCAAATAGCCCCTGACATTATGGTTGATTTTGTCAAACCGATAATTACGAACCTTCAGATGAAGGGTGGCTACAACCCAAACCAATTTCCAAATCCATGCAAGTTTTCTTGTATTTCAATAACAATTATGGCAACTTATACTTGGATCTGAGTCCCCTATTTAAACCTATAAGACCTACCTATACCTTTTTTTATTAACAAAACTACCACTAAACCCTAACCTAACCTTAAAAAAAAGCTAAAATTTTTAAAATTTAATATCAAAATTAAATTAAAATCCCAGCTTAAGCTGCCACAATAACTGTAAGTAAATATTACTGGTCTAAGTGTTAACATTATTTTTTATTTAGATTTGAATCGATTCTTCAATGTCCTACAAGACATGGCTTTAAACCAAGATATTGAACCGGAAACAAATGACGAAACTTTACCTAAGTATGGCGCAATCAACAAGGTTTGCTTTCAAGCGCATTTATGTTAAATTCATTAAGATTTAATTATTATATGTTAAAGTAAATATACTGCACTCCATTAAAGCGTGCCGGTGATTACATTAAAGTTTTTAACGCAGAATCAGATCATCAAAGTCAAGATACGCATCCAAGCCAAACAGACTCGGAGTCTGTTGGATCTTACAGAGCATCATCATCTAGAGGAGCTAGATCTCTGACGTCTTCGCAAGGATCTCAAGCTGACATTTCAACATTATACGAATCTGGGAAGGTAAAGCTATTATATTATCAATTATTAAATAAATTTGTTATTTTGCTCTTTGCCTTGAAGATGGCCTCATGGGATAAAATAATTACTGTGGCCATAAAGTCATTTTCATGGCAAAAACTTTCACTTATTCATAAAATTTTTTCTTTATAGGTATCAAAGGTTAGCCTTTTTTTAATTTCTAGTTTATCCAATTTGCCCATTAATAAGTTATTGTCATCTAATACCCATTATTAATGATTAAGGCTACTGTGGTTCAATTAAAAGAATTTCTAAACAGTGTCGGAATTAAGCCAGCAAAGAGAAAAGATGAGTTGGTTAAGCAAGTTGAAACATATTTTTCTTCAACATAGTGATTAGATTAAAAACTTATAAGTTTACTTGAGTCATTAATTTGATATGACAAACCGGCTTAATTGGTTATCTCAAAAAAATTAGATCTGCTAATAATAAATGTAAATTACGCTCGTATTCTACGTTTCATTTTTTTTTATATAAACGATAAAATGTCCCAAAGTGAAAAATAAGTCGTTGTAAAACGCTTCAAAAGCAAAAAAATTGTCAGAATGCGTAATCAGACACCCGGTAGATGTAATCGTCGATGACCATACCGTTACGGAGGTATGATACGGTTATTCATATTCCTTTTTTAATGATCGAAATTCAAATGTTTATTATTTCATTATTTTAAAGGGTCATTTTTATTATTTACTTTTTTGGATTCTCTATTACATGGGCGTGTTAATAGAAATCAAGCAAATTTTTTAGAATAAAATGTTTTAAAATTTGAATAAAAATAACCAAATTTGATAAAAGCTTTTTAAATTAATTTTATTAAAGTTATAGGATTTAAAAAAGTTTGATTAAACTTTTATTAAATTATTATTAAAATTTTGCCTGTTTTATTGATTCATTTCCACATGTTCTTTTGTTCTTTTTTAAACTAATTGTTAGTTGTGATTAATGACAGATCTTTTTAATCTTTTTTAAACATGGCAAAATTAAATGTCATTTTTTATAATTATTATGTATGAGTGCTGTCAAAAGAAAATCTGTCATCGGGCTTTCAATTATATTTTGTCTAGTTTGTTTTCTGAATGTCATCTAGAAAGGATGCTAAAGCCAGATACATTATATATTTTTGATTATTTGGTTGAAATTAGAGTTAGGATTATAACAAGAATTAAAAGTAAAATTGCCTTCCCAAAATTTTTTATTAGTGCTCCGAGACAGATTTAGACACTTGTTTCTTTTATATTTCGCGGTTTTCACCTTTTTTCTTTGGTTTTGTCTCGTCGGGCTGATCCAAGTAAATCAAAATTTTATTACTTGATTGGCTGCTAGTCACCTGGCTTTAGACGGCCCCTATATTTGGGATGGCTGCCAATATAAATGCACACCCTCTCCAAATTCACACTTCTGGTCTTAAAGGCGTGAAGTTAGATATCATTTGGTGATCGATTCTTTAAAGATGACATATGCATTTGGACCGCATCTAATACGTTCAAGTGAAATATTTCATTTCTCGAAATTATGTTTCGCTTTTGTTAATTTGAAGCCAGTCCTTCCGTATGTATCATTTGTTCTTTGACATTTCATCTATAACAACTATAATAAATATTATTTGTACTAGTGGGCGTAAGTTTTTTAATTTATTTGTTTATCGTTTTAACTATCTATCATTTCGATAAACATATTTTCTTTAGATGTTTTAGTCGCACCGTTCCGAGTAGTCCCTAGATTTAGTGAGTTAACTTCCGAAGAGGTATATATAATATTTAAATGTGAAATAAGTTAACAAATATCTTAAATATTAAGTATTTTTTATAGATATGTGATTTATTTTCAAGTGCTCAAACAATTGGTAAAGTTATTGAACGAGAATATCATGCCACATCGCTGACTATAGCTATACAGGTTTGTTAACACTTTAATTTTATCTTTTTTTTTCGATTATAAGTAAAGTATCGTTTATGAAAACAGGATGGACCAGCTGCGGGACAAACGGTAAATTCATAAGCGCATTCTATGCGTTTCGTTTTTATAAATGCTATTAGCTTATTAGGTTCTTACAGGTACCACATTGTCACGTTCATTTAATTCCACGGAAAGCTGGTGATTACGCAAATAATGATGATATTTATAAAGATATTAACAAATCATCAAAAATCGATAATGAAGAAAGACCACCTAGAAGTTTAGAAGAAATGGCTAAAGAAGCCGAATTTTTAAAACAATTCTTTAAAAACAGTAAATGAAATTCACTTAAGTTCATGTGAGATTTGTAGCACAAAAATAAAACCCACGTCACTTGTATCAAAATGGTTTACCTGTGTTAAAAACTTATAATTCGAGTTAAAACGGTTGAATATGTACAGTGAGCTCCAAAGTACACTCGTCAATATAAAGAAATCCAACTACAACGCATGACAATAAATGTCGCGGATTATAATTAAATCAGATTAAAATAAAATTTGCGTTTCTATTTATTCTCTTAAAACCTACTTACTTCTAAAGCTGACCATAATCCTAAAAAGTAAAATATGTACCTATAAATGTTGGAAGCTTAACCAATAAGCTATATGATTCAAGTTCCTAAAACCTACAATATTTATTTTAGAAAGAATTTTAACTTATTAGTAATTTGATTTTTTTTTGATTATAAATTGCATTTAAGTTATGTTTATTTTTGCAAACTGTTTTTACAAATTTTCTTATTAGTTTTTTTAATATAATTTTTTTTTTTTTTTTTTTTTTTTTTTTTTTTTAAAGAAAGGTCTATCCTCTATCTCTTTATTAATTAGTCAAATTACATATATAAGATACATGTTGAAGAAACTAAACTAGGGGAGATGGAAATAAGAGTTACTTTACTCTTGACCTATTTTTTGCTAGAATGGTTAGTAAACCTCTAGTCTTTGATAAGGTGATGAAGAGAAGATTGTCTATTAGTAATAAAATATTGTATTTTTCTGTTTAATATTGATATTGGGATCAGTTTAGGTTTAGTTAATGTTGAAAGTTGTAAAGGTGATAGAATTAGAAAAATTGAATTATGTTATACTGTTCTTGAGGTAAGTCAAAGTTCTTTATATATTGTAGTAATAATATTGTGATGTATAAGAGGAGCATATTTATTTTTTTGTTTGTTGTTTTCAAAAGATGCTAGTATCTTAGTCATTATTAGTCCTAGTGATATATGCTTGTTAATATAATTTAAGATAAAGGCTTGAGTGAATCTATATATTTCATAGCATAGTATTTCCAAGTTATTTGATGTTTTCTGTACTGTATCTTTTATTAAAGTTATGAGACATGTATGATTTCAGAAGCAAGTTAGGAAGTGTATTATATCTTCTGATATACTATAGCACCTTGAACAGAGATAGTTTAAATATTTGGTAACATTTCTTCAATAAAGCAAAAGATGTATAAGTAGTTCTTCTAAGAGTAATTTAATTTTAAAGTTTTTTAGTGCTGAAGAGGAAGGATCAGTCACTAAGACAAGAGGTTTTTCTTTATAGAATATATATTGCAGAATTAGTAATCAGTTAATTTTGTTTTGTGAAGTGTGCTAATATAAGATTTACTGTTGATTAAACCAAGTTATTCTGTTTGTAATTTGGTAAATTTGCTTCAAAGTAGTTTTTAATAAATATATATAAGAATTACCAAGAAGCTTTGAAACAAAGTGGTTATATAAAAATTTTTGTAGTATAGAATCTAGTGGAAACATATGCATGTATTTTTGGAATTGGGCCTTTTTTTAGAACCCTATATTTTTAAAAAATTACGGATTTGTATAATTAAGTTTTTTTTTTAGACTCTAAATTTTAAATAAATTTTTAAAAAACCAAATTTTATAAAACTCAAATTAATATATATAAATGTGTTAAACCAATTGTTTGTCTTTAAAACCAATTGTTCTTTTTGAGATTATTATTTAGATAAGAATAAAGCATTACAAATATTATATAGTATTATAAACTAACTTTTTTAAGTTTTAAATTTAATTACAGATTTAATAATGGTTACTAATATTAACATGCATCATCAATTACATATTTTTTCTAACCCAAACTCTAACTCAAAACAAGAATTTGAATGTGAAATTTGTAGAACAATCTATAAAACTAAAAGAGGTCTTAATTGCCACCAAAAGATTGTCCAAAAATATAATATTCATCATGAAGAATTATATACATTACCATTAGAAGCAGTCAATCAATTTAAGGCAGATCTTGTTTACATTATCGGGAGCAAACTTAAGGAGCATTTTACATGGTCAGGCAAACAAACTATTTCATTTTCATGTCTAGAAAGTTTATTTTTTGGAATCTTTGAAGAGTACATTCACTACTTTAGTCATAAAAATAGTAGTTACAAGTGTTTTTTTCATGGATCAAATTCATATATGCAATTAGCTAATCTGTTTAACAATCAGAATTGGAGATGCAAGTTTTTTAACAACAATTAACAAACATTTATTTTGTTATTTAATGCACAAGATAAAAAAAAAAACTAGTTATAAAAAAAATCCAAACTGCTGAAACTAATGATCGAGTGGAAAACAAAGGTCAAAAAAGATGCAAACAATAATCAAA